TCTGACGTAATTCCGGTTCAAAATCGAGCGCACAATTAGACTCATATTTACAAATAATATATCCATCAACCACTCACTCATTGATGTCTCTGATCGAGGAGCCAAAATAGAACAGTGTTTGTTATATAGGAAAGAATTACCTACAACCTGCATAATATAACAGTGGTTCCCGGTTGTCAGAAGCTTAGACTTACACAAAAGTTGAGTGGGTTTAATGTTGGAAAAAAAATGTGGAGTCTTATCGCATGAATCTGCTTGAAGGACAAAGGGTTAAGTCGGGCCGAGGTCACCCGACTACGTTTGATGATTACGTGGTTGTTTGTTGAATTGAATACGCGAATTCTGAGGATACCTTTTATTTTCCGGGAGTGTGTCATTGGCGGATACGAGGTTCATTGAAAAGGCATCCGTTATCGGGTATGATATATTGGTAATGTTGGGCTTTAAACTTGAGTTTATAGCTCTAGCTAATACTAATCATATCACTAAGTTATATGTTCCCTTCGAAAGATTTGCTTATTTTCTCTTGCATTTTTATTGAAGCTAATGGTGTTAATGACATGCACATTATACTCATGAACCAATGTAACAATAACAATAATTAGTTCATTTATAAAGCGCACATTCACTCTGTACAGCATGCTCTTTGCGCTTTAAAACTATTAATACCCTTAAGCAGACCCCAGAACACTATACATTATCGACTTCCCAGGAAGCAAGCAGTTCAAGTTGCGGATTGCAGGCGCCCAAACATTTACAAACTGGCAAGATCTTTTGCGGTTTAACTGCAGACCTCACCAGGTCTTAACTCTATGACTGTTGGTATTTCTGTGCAAGCAAGAAGTTCATCAAGGGCCACTAAACTAATTTTATAGAGAGAGTTAAGTCAATAGCTCAGGGCGCCGCTGGTGCAATTACCTTGAAAGATGATTAAGCTATACTTAATTGATCCAGCATTGGACGAAATACACTGTGTGCTGTGACTAGGGCTGTAACACAAAATGCACATACATATACAGCATTTTTTCAAAATACCACCACCCGCCCCCTCCAAACACCACCCCAATCCCATCTCACCTCTCTTTCTCTCTCTGTCTCTGTCTCTGTCTCTGTCTCTGTCTTTGTCTCTCTGTCTCTCTCTCTGTCTCTCTCTCTCTCTCTCACTCTCTCTCTCTCTCTCTTATCTCTCCTCCGTCTCTCTCTCTATCTATCTTACCATCTCTATCTTTTCTCTTCTATCTCTTTTTAATAAAAAGTAACATCTAATTTAGCTAATCAGATGTTTCCATCTGTGAAACAATTCAAAAATCTTTTGAATCAAAAGAACAATGCAGCGGTCATCGTTTACTGTTGGACATTCCATACCACGCAACATTCCTCGCCTGAATATTGACGTCTTGTATTATTTTTAGTGAGGCAAATTTGTTTTGTCCAGGACCAATCAAAAGTTACGAGAGAAAACGTCCTGTGTCCTGCGCCATAGCTATATTGCCAGAACATTATATACATCACTCTGTATCGCTTTAGGGTTTAAAAATAGAATAGAAACGCTTGAAGGCACGATGCTAAAACGATTAGGGTTACAGGAGGTGCATGCTTATTGCCACGGTCTAATATGGACTAATTTGGAGAAAATAATATTCGTGAAAAAAAGCCTCTAAAAGTGATTTTAAAAAAACTTTTTAGAAGATACAAACATCAAATGCCATCGACTTTTCAACTGTTCGAATACTCGAAAATCTATAAAAACAAAATTCGATATTGTTAAACCAAAAACAAAAATCGATATTGTTAAACCAAAAGATCTTGTTTAGATGAATTACACGTGATAATATACAACTAAAGCCACAAGTCAGAAATAAACGCATTGTTGGTCTAGGGGGGTCTCATTGCCTAGACGTTAAGGTGTTCGCCTCTCATTCAAAGGTCCCGGATTCGAATCTGCGTACCGACGGAAACATTTTCTTCTCTAAAATTGTCTTCTTTAACTTCCTTTCCTGCTCTCTAGTAATGTTTTATCGTCTGCTTTCGTCTCCACTTTCTGCCCCCAACCCCTCATCTCCTTTGCCCCATCCTCTGGGCCCCTGTCTTTTTCTGCAACCTTTCTACTGCTACTCCTTGGCTCCTTCTTACGGCTGTCTTTCAACCACACCCCTGATCTTCTGGTAGGAAAGATCTTCACCTAGCCTTCTCGGGCAAGGGTGAAAAATCTAGGAAGTCTCGTGTGCAAGTTGCGCACGTTAAAGATCCCTTGGTGGTCTTAAAAATGATAAGAGGAAAGCTTCGGCCGCCACCCGGGCAAAATTCAAAATTTCCTACCAAATGACAATGTTTAATGTGTCCGCGCGCTCATTTGTGACCTTTACAGTTGCGAGCGCCTTAAAACACTTAGCAAAATAAAACGAAATTGTTGGTGTTCGTATCAAAATAAAAAAGGATTAACAGATGGATAAAAAAACAACAACCGATTTTTGAAAAACAAACAAACCAAACAACCAAAACAAAACAGAACATCATCATCATCATTGCCTTTCTCACCCTGGGGCAGGATATAGGCCACGAACAAACACTCTCCACCTTTCCCTATCCTGGGCTAGTCGCTTGATGTCACTTCACGTCTTCCCACTTTTCTGTACATCCATTTCGGTGACTCTTCTTCAGGTTCCACGAGGTCTTCCCCTTGATCTTTTACCCTGTGGGTTCCAATCTAACTCTTTTCTTGTCATGCAGCTGCTTGACTTCCTGAGAGTGTGTCCAATCCATCGCCAACGTCTTCTTCCCACCTCATCTCTGACCGGGCTCTGTCTGGTTCTTCTTAATACTTCCTCGTTGGTGATCATGTCTGTCCATTTGATCCTCAGCATCCTCCTCAGACATTTGTTCAAGAAAACCTGGATCCTCTTTATGCACATATGGGATGTGTTCCACGTCTCACATCCATACAACAAGACTGACTTTACATTTGAGTTGAAAACAGAACAACACAGCACAAAACAACAGAAAAACAAAAACAACGAAACAACAAAACAAACAGAAATGAAAAAAATATTAAAAAGCAAAAGAAATGGCAACGAATAAAACCAAAAACAAAACATAACAAAACACCCAAAATCCAAAGGAGGAAAATGAGCTTATAAAGGAAAAGTTTGTCACAACCGATCATTTCATCTAGTTTTACTTTGTGCTAAACTAAATGTTTCAATTGTTTATAGCCCGTTTGGTGCACATCTCTTCATTTTAAAAACTTCTCTTCGAAGTAAAAGTTCCGAGTGTGGAATATCTCCTTCTATAGAGTTTAAAGAGAAAATCGATTATCGCTTGCGATCATTGGGACGTAGAGCACGCTCCACCTCCCTCCTTTTTTTCCTCACACACTGCACACTCACACATGAGACAGACAAACAGATAGACAAACACACACACACACACACACACACACACACACACACACACACACACACAAAACACACACACACACACACACAAAAGACACACACACACAAACAC